ATGTCATCCAGACGGCTAACAATATCCTTCATCCCAGCCCCAGGAAAACACACTCTCTGCCTCCTACTCCTATCCTTCAAGCAGAATGCCCTATCCATGCACCTAATCTGGCTATCCCCAACAACAACAATGTTATTACCTTACTTGGCGATGTCCATCGTGATGTTCCCAGTAGTCGACTCGCATTCGTCAGGTAGCACTACACCTTCACTTGTGGAATTCATCAAAACGTTCTCGATGGTCTTCGTTGGGGTTTCTAGGGATGTCTCACTCACATCTGCCAATCTTCCTTAGTGTTCGTTGTGACATTCCCAGTAGAACACCCACATTCGTCAGATAGCACCGAGAATGGGTTGGAAGTTTCCACAGTAGTCTTCTCGGTTCTCGTTGTTTCTGCCTCTCCAACTGTCTTCTTGATCCTCAGCTTGGTTCCATGTTGCCCGGCCACTGACCAAGCTCACCTCTTAATCTGGGGACTCACAACAGGAGGATTACTACGAATCCTCTAGTTCTCCTCCGTTAATTGCTGTATCTCCAGTTTAGCAACTCTGAGCTCTTCTCTCAGCTGCTGGTAAAGTTGCTCAAGAGAGGGCATCCTGGTTCAGATTCACAGAGAGCACACAAACAGGTCTTCACAGAGCTAAGTACACGTCACCACTCAAAGCTAAGTGCACGTCACCACAATTCCTCAACTTCAGATTGAGAATTTTTAATTTTAGCTATGAGTAATGTATGTACACGTACATTGCTTATTTATGATTTTGATATTAAAATAACAGATTTCTCTATTTTTCTATGTGTTTTTTTATAAACACATTGGCCATTTCCCACCAAGGTAGGGTGAACCAAAAAAGAAATAAAAACTTTCATCATCACACATTCCATCACCTTCCTGGAAGAGGCATGCCTACACTACAGTTCTAAAACTGCAGCATATCACCGCCCCTCCTTCAGAGCAAGGAAGTGTACTTCCCACCTCCAGAACTCAAATCTGGCTAACCTGTTTCCCGGAGCCCCTTCATAAGGGTTGCTTTGCTCACACTCCAACAGCGCATCCTCATAAAAAACCATTTGCCCTCACTTGCTTCTATCCAACATACTTTCGAACACTTGTGAACACATAGTAAAGAGATTTTTACTATGTGGGGTAAGATGGAAAGCTTTATGGAGAAACATTACCCTAACAAGGTTGTTGCAAGCCAGGTTGGCAACATGTACAGTGACAAAGTCTTGGGCCATTTTAGGGAAGTGTTAAAGAGATGCCAGAAACAGAGCTCTCTCCACAGTTATTTTGTGAGACAGGACTCCAGTGACTCTCAAGGTGGTCCTAGTGGCATTAAGAAACAGAGAAGAGAAGCAACCCCAGAAAAGCAAATGGTACCTGAGGTGTTGATGGAAGGGGATTCCCCTTCCAAACCATAAACAATCCACTCTCTCTCCTCCTCCAGTCTCCCATACACTAAGAAGAATCTCCAATAAAGGTAAGTGTTATGCTGTTAATGTTTCATTCATCATTTCCCATTGTATTGTTTATGTACTACATGTATATTTCATGTTAAAAATTTTTTTGTTTTAATACTTCTGGGTGTCAGGAACGGATTAATTGTATTTACATTATTTCTTATGGGGAAAATTGATTCGTAAATCGTAAATTTCGTTTATAGTAACGGCTCCAGGAACGGATTAATTACGAAAAACGAGGGACCACTGTATGCTTCTATACTGTTGTGTTCTGAGCACCTCTGCAAAAACAGTGATTATGTGTGAGCGAGGTGAAAGTGTTGAATGATGATGAAAATATTTTCTTTCTGGGGATTTTCTTTCTTTTTGGGTCACCCTTCCTCGGTGGGAGACTGCCGACTTGTTGAAAAAAAAAAAAATGGTACAAACTCTTCCACTCAACCAATCACAGTAGGAGACCCACAGGGAAGTGTCCTTGGACCTCTTTCTCATCTACATCAATGACCTACTGAATGCATCACAGCTACTCAAACCCATATAATTTGCAGATGACACTACATACGTCTTCTTCCACCTAAACCCAGTCATACTCGCCAACACTGTCCATGCCGAACTGCAGAAAATATCTGCCTGGATGATGACTAATAAACTTATTCTGAATATTTATAAAACCTATTTCATTCAGATTGGAAACAAAGCTGCAAATGTTCCACTTAACATAACACTAAACGGATGACCGTCTCAAGACTCGCAGAGGGAAAATTCCTAGAATCCACCTTGATAGTAGCCTCAAGTTCCAGACACACATACAACAAATCACCAAGAAAATCTCTAAGACAGTAGGCATAATCTCAGAGATAGGGTACTATGTTCCACAATCAGCTCTCCTGCCACTATACCATTCACTCATATATCCTTATCTCACATATGGAATTTGTGCATGGGGATCAACAACATTAAATCACCTAAGACCACTAATAACCCAGCAAAAGGCTGCAGTCAGAATTAAAACAAATTCCCACTCCTGACAGCATACTCCACCAATTTTCAAAAGTTTAAATCTGCTCACCAATACGAACATCCATACTTATTCATGTGCCTACTACATACATAGAACAATACATGCAAACATAAACCCTCCACTCAAACTTCTCCTCACCAACCTTAACAGGACACACGACCATAACACAAGACACAGATCTCTTTTTGATGTACCCTGTGTCCGTATCACACTGTAAAAAGCCTATGCACATAAAGGGCCCCAAAATATGCAATTCATTACCAGAAAATACTAAAGTAACCTGGTCTGAAAATCAATTTAAGACTCTTCTCAAAAGCCACTTAATCACCCTAGACTAAATGCTCAATATTCAATATTCCCATAATATAATTTCAATACAGTGGACCCCCGGTATATGATATTAATCCGTTCCTGAGAGCTCACTGTATGCCAAAATTATGGGAAGGCAAATTAATTTTCCCCATAAGAAATAATGGAAATAAAATTAATCCGTGCAAGACACCCAAAAGTACAGTGAAAAAAAAAGTTTTACTACATGAAATATTAAGTTTAATGCACACAAACTGAAGAAGACATGCACAGTTAGCAGTACGTACTCTACTAACAACATACCTTTAATGAAGATCTGGTGATGATTAATGGGATGGGAGGAGGGGAGAGTGTCGAAGTTGTTAATGTTCAGAAGGGGAATCCCCTTCCATTAGGACTTAAGGTAGCAAGTCCTTTTCCGGGGTTACTTCCCTTCTTCTTTTAATGCCACTAGGACCAGCTTGAGAGTCACTGGACCTCTGTCGCACAACATATCTGTCCATAGAGGCCTGTACCTCCCATTCCTTTATGACATTCCTAAAGTGTTTCACAACATTGTCAGTGTAATAATCACCAGCACAGCTTGCAATAGCTGTGTTAGGGTGATTTCCATCCATAAAGGTTTGCAGTTCAACCCACTTTGCACACATTTCCTTAATTTTTGAAGTAGGCACAATGGATTCCACAACTGGCATAGGCTTCTCAGGGTTAGCCCCAAACCCTTCAAAATCTTTCGTAATTTCCATACTAATTCTCACCCTTTTTACCACAGGTTGGCACTAGAAGCTTTCTTGGGGCCCATGTGACTTATTTTGCAGATACAAGCACCAAAAACACTGTGATAATATGGAATGTACCGAATGTATGCTTAGATGTGAGCACACTGGCTGGCATGTAAACACTGGCACGCACGGGGCAGTTCAGGCCACATGTGGACGCGTCCCGGACGAATCGCATGTGGCGGGTTTTTTAATGAATGGCGAGGCAAAATTTTTGTGTTAAAATGTATCATATACCGGATTTAACGTATACCGATGCCATTGTATGCCGAGGGTCCACTGTATTTACTTTTGAACCTATTGTCCATTGTCGACAGAAATATAACTGAATCATGTTTCACATAAAGCATTTTTGAATACAGTGGACCCCCGCTTAACGATCACCTCCCATTGCGACCAATTATGTAAGTGTATTTATGTAAGTGCGTTTGTACGTGTATGTTTGGGGGTCTGAAATGGACTAATCTACTTCACAATATTCCTTATGGGAACAAATTCGGTCAGTACTGGCACCTGAACATACTTCTGGAATGAAAAAATATCGTTAACCGAGGGTCCACTGTATATGAATATATCCTTTGGTTTAAAGAAATTAGATTCACTTATAATTAATAGATCTACTGTACAACTATGATAAATTTCTTTAGTGCTAAGTAGTCAGTAAGCCAATAAATTAAGTCAGCCCATAATGCCTAGGCATAACAGAGGCTCTCTTTGCATTGCAAATTATTACTGTAAATACATAATCTCAATGTACTAGTACTTGCAAAGAAATAAATAAATCTGAATTTGAATTCCTGGTTATATTTTATTTTCCAAGAAATAGGGTAAATCTGTGATTTTTGTGATGATGAATTCAAAATGGAGGGTAAGTGTAATATAGGAGAGGCCTGAGGACATGATTAATAATTGCTTTAGTTCCTGGAGTGTCTACAGTGTTTATTTCGGATTCAGCTTTTAAATCTAATTTTTTAATTTTGTTCACTTTACAGAATAGTTCTGATTGTGGAATGGGCAGTGTCTTGTGCTCAATCAATAGAACAGAAGGCATACTAGCAAAATAGCTAAGTATCTGGATGAATTGAGCAATGGAATTGGCTTAAAATAGGACTCAAATTGGGCAAAATTGCCGAGTAAATTGCATCCAGACTGCCAACTTTGAGCTTGCGTAAATGTAAGTTTTTCATCAAATTTCATATTTTTGGTGTAATTACCTTCAGAAATAGATTCTCTACCATTCCAGATTTTTTTTATAAAAAATGCCAACACTTGACTGCAGCTTTAATTTTGGGGCTTCCAACAGTGAAGCGGTTAATAATTATTTAAGTTTAATATTTAGTGCCTTCTTGTAATTTTGTCTGGACTAAAAGAGGTGCCAGAAAATCAGTGTTGTACCTGTATAAAAAAGCGTAACATCAGCAAAAACTTACCAAGAGAATTCGATGAAGTGTTCGTGTGGATACAGCTAGCATTCTCAGGTATCTGCTGCCATTTTTGTCTTCTATATAAGACTTTCTTTCCAGTAGAGATATCTAGACAAAAAACAATTTGGTGATATAGTGTCCTATAGCAAGAAGTGTCAGAGTCAAGTACATCAGCACATATCACAGTCTGGCAGTTCAATGCAGACTTTACCACTTCAGAATAAATAGAAAGACAAATTTACATGAAGAAAACAGTTTTAAAGTAGCTGTCACATTGATAAAATATAATCTATAATGTACTGTACAAATCTGATAAAATATTCCAAGTGGCAGGCACAGAGAGAGGGACCTAGGAGTCATAGCTGACAAAGGATTGTCACTGTAGGATCATATTAATGAAATTGTAAGAAGCAATATGCTACACTGGCAGACTTGAAGAAAGAAAAAAAAATATGGATGGAGTAACAGCAAAAAATTTCATTCAAAATGCATATCAGATTAAAATTGGAATATGCATTAATGATGGACAAGCTAGAAAGTCCAAAGCCAAGCTGCAAAATGGCTCCCAGAGCTAAATGTATTTACTTGCTAAGAAAGGCTGAGAACATTAAATATCTCATCTCTGTCTGAAAGAAGGAAAAGAGGAAGCATATTGATTACATATACAAAGATTCAATAGAATAGATAAGAAAGATTTCCTAATGCCATCAAAAGGGCAAACAAGATGCCACAGTTGTATAATAAGTAGAGTTCCTGAAAGGATAAAAAAAAATTATCTTCCTCACAAGAGTAACAGAACAATGGAATAAATTACAAGATGAGGTAGTAAGTAGTCAATAACCAATGAACATTTTATAAAGGGACATCTACTACAAGTAGATATGATAACCACAAATAAGTAATTAGCAACCACCCAGGGAAGCACTACCATCTCGCCAAGTGAGCGTAAAACGGAAACCTGTAATTGTTTTACATGATGGTAGGATTGCTTGTGTCTTTTTTTCTGTCTCATAAACATGCAAGATTTCAGGAACGTCTTGCTACTTCTACTTACACTTAGGTCAGACTACACATGCATGTACAAGCATATATATATATATAAACACCCCTCTGGGTTTTCTTATCTTTTCTTACTGGTTATTGTTCTTGTTTATTTCTTCTTATCTCCATGGGGAAGTGGACAAGAATCCTTCCTCCGTAACCCATGCATGTCGTAAGAGGAGACTAAAATGTCAGGAGTAAGGGGCTAGTAACCCCTTCTCCTGTATATATTATGTACTAAATTTATAAAGAGAAGCTGTCCTTTTTCTTTTTTGGGCCATTCTGCCTCGGTGGGATACGGCTGGTGCGTTGAAAGAAGAAAGAAAAAGGAAACTTTTATTTTTCATTTTGGGTCACCCTACCTTGGTGGGATATGGCTGGTTTGTTGAAAGAAGGATTGCTGGTGTCTTTTTACCATCTTAAACACACAGGATAACAGGTATACGTATCTTGTTACTTTTACTAGGTGATGCTACACACATGCATGTACACTCATATTTACATGCCCATCTGGGTTGTCCTCTATTTTCTAATAGTTCTTGTTCTTCTTTATTTCTTATCTCCATGGGGAAGTGGAAAAAATTCTTCCTCTGTAAGCCATGTATATGTTGTAAGAGGTGACTAAAATGCTGGTAGTAAGGGGCAGGTAACCCCTTCTCCTGTATAAATTAAATTTTATAAGAAAACTTTTGTTTTTCTTTTTGGGTCATGATGCCTTGGTGGGATATGCCCAGGTTGTTGAAAAAAAATTAAATGTAGAAAAAATAAAACAAATTAAAAAAACAAAGGACAATCAGTATATATATCAGCTGGCAATTTTTTTTCACTGAACCAGCCATATCTCACTAAGGTAGGGTGACCTAAAAAGAAAAACAAAAGATTTTCTTTTTAAATTTAGTAATCACCTGGGAATCGTACATAATTATTATATACTACAGAGGGATAGTGGTACCTCGGGATACGAACAGCTCAAAATGCAAACAATTATGTAAGTGTATTTATGCAAGTGCTTTTGTAAGTGTATTTTTGGGGGTCTGAAATGGATTAATCTAATTTACATTATTCCTTATGGGAACAAATTCATTCAGTATCAGCATTCAAACAGCCTTCTGGAACGAATTAAGTTCGTATCCCGAGGTACCACTGTATTTCTTAAGGTGATGTTTGTTAACAATAGTTTATAATTAAAAGTAAATGTAGGAAAGAGCAAGGTGATGATGATGATAAAAAAATTTAGGTAACGAAAGATTAGATATCAGATTGGAGGGAGAGAGTATGGAGGAAGTGAATGTATTCAGATATTTGGGAATGAACATCTATGAAAGACTTGGTGAATCACAGAACTGATGAGGGAAAAAAGGCAAGTGGAGCACTGAGGAGTCTGTGGAGATGAAGAACGTTATCCATGGAAACAAAGAGGGGAATGTATGAGAGTACAGTTATACCAATGCTCCTATATGAGTGTGAAGCATGGGTGGTGAATGTTGCAACAAGAAGGCTGGAGACAGAGATGTCATGTCTGAGGGCATGTGTGGTGTGAATATAAGGCAGAGAATCCATAGCTTGGAGATTAGAAGGAGGTGCAGTATTTCTAAAAATATTATTCTGAGGAAAAATTGATGAGGTGGGTTTGGACAGTTAGAGGATGGAACGAAAAAAAATGACTTGGAGGGCATATAAATCTATAGTGGAAGGAAGGCAGGGTCGGGATCATCCTAGGAAAGACTGGAGGGATGGGGTAAAGGAAATTTTTTGTAAAGGGCTTGGACTTCCAGCAAGTGGCATGAGCATGTTAGATAGGAGTGGAGATGAATGCCTTTTATGACTTGACGTGCTGTTGGAGTGTGAGCTAAGTAACATTTATCAAGGGATTCAGGGAAACTGGTTAGCTGGACTTGAGTCCTAGAAGTGGGAAGTACAGTGCCTGCACTCTGAAGGAGGAGTGTTGATATGTTGCTGTTGTTTAACTGTAGCGTAGGCCCTGCCTCTGGCAAGACAGTGATAGAATGAATTATGATGAAAGTGTTTCTTCTTTTTTGGGTCACCCTGCCTCAGTTGGAAATTGCCAATGTGTCAATAAAAAATAAGTTTAGAATTTTAACCTTAAATGGGATATTGGCAGTTTGGAGGGATATGTTGTGTATCTTTATATGTGTATGCTTCTAGACTGTTGTATTCTGAGCACCTCTGCAAAAACAGTGATAATGTGCGAGTGTGGTGAAAGTGTTGAATGATGATGAAAGTATTTTCTTTTTGGGGATTTTCTTTCTTTTTTGGGTCACCCTGCCTTGGTGGGAGACGGCCGACTTGTTGAAAAAAAAAAAAAAAAAAAAAAATATATATATATATATTATATATATATATATATATATATATATATATATATATATATATATATATATATATATATATATATATATATATATATATATATATATATATAATCTACAGTGGTCCCTCGTTTATCGTAATTAATCCGTTCCTAGAAGTGTTACTATAATCGAAATCTATGATTTTCGAATCAATTTTCCCCATAAGAAATAATGTAAATAAAATTAATCCATTCCTGACACCCAGAAGTACTAAAACAAAAAAAATTTTTACATGAAATATAGATGTAGTACATAAACAGTACAATGGGACATGATGAATGAAACATTAACAGCATAACACTTACCTTTATTGGAGATTCTTCTTAGTGTATGGGAGACTGGAGGAGGAGAGAGATTGGATTATTTACAGTTTGGAAGGGGAATCCCCTTCCATCAACACCTCAGGTACCAATTGCTTTTCTGGGGTTACTTCTCTTCTCTGTTTCTTAATGCCACTAGGACCAGCTGGAAAGTCACTGGAGCCCTGTCTCGCAAAATAACTGTCCAGAGAGCTCTGTTTCTGGCGTCTCTTTAACACTTCCCTAAAATGGGCCAAGACATGTTGCCAACATGGCTTACAACAGCCTTGTCAGGGTGATGTTTCTCCATAAATCTTTCCATCTTACCCCACATCTCAAAACTCTCCTTAATTTCTGAAGAGGCACCTTCTTCCATCTCTCTTCCTCCTCCTCTGCAGCAAGATTCTGAGCTGCAATCTGTTGCTCTTCCTGCTGAAGCTCTTGCAGCTCCTCAGTGGTGAGCTCATCGTTGTGGTCTTCCACCAACTCTTCCACATCCTCCAAACTCACATCCAACCCCATGGAACTCCCCAGTGCCACAATAGATTTAATAAGTGACATAGGCTCATCAGGGTCAGCCCCAAACCCTTCAAAATCCCTCTTGTCAACACAATCTGGCCAAAATTTTCTCCAAGCAGAGTTCAAAGTCCTGGTAGTCACTCCCTCCTAAGCCTTACCTATAAGGCTTATGCAATGGAGGGTGCTGAAGTGTTCTCTCCAAAAACCTCTTAGGGTCAAGTGAGTGTCTGAGGTCACATTCAAGCACCTTTGAAACATTGCTTTGGTGTAGAGTTTTTTAAAGTTTGCAATGACCTGCTGGTCCATGGGCTGGAGGAGAGGAGTGGCATTCGGGGGCAAGAACTTTATTGTGATGAACCCAAACTCCTCAAAAATTAGGTCATCCAAGTTTGGAGGATGAGCAGGTGCATTGTCCATTACCAGGAGGCACTTGAGATCCAATTTCTTTTCCAGGAGGTAATTCTTCACACTAGGGCCAAACACTTCATTGAACCACTCGACGAAAATTTCCCTTGTGACCCATGCTTTACTATTAGATTTCCAAAACACACAATTTACTCTTCATAACATTGCTTTTCCTGAACACACTGGAATTTTCAGAATGGTACACTAGTAACAGCTTCACTCTGAAATCCCCACTAGCATGAGCACAGAACATGAGCGTCAGCCTGTCTTTCATAGGCTTGTGTCCTGGCAGTGCCTTTTCCTCCTGAGTAATGTAGGTCTTCTTTGGCATTTTCTTCCAAAAGAGGCCTGTTTCATCACAACTGAACATTTGTTCAGGTTTCAGTCCTTCAGCCTCTATGTACTCCTTGAATTCATGCACATATTTTTCAGCCGCTTTGTGGTCCGAACTGGCAGCCTCACCATGCCTTAC